TCCCTACACCTCTAGGTGGGACAGGACTTTTCAACTGTCTTATGAGACAGACAGCAAAGGTGACATGGTTGGTATAATGTTAGTGATTCCTCACCTGGTTTTAGTTCTCCGTTTCTGAAAAAATATCGCTTGAAGTAAACGGCACTTCCGAAGAGGTACTCTCTTCCCCTCCCCCAAAGAGTCTGATAAATGCCAAGTTTAACATAGCTCTCTCTATCTATATATTTACCTGAAGGAGTCTCAGAAGCCTTAAGTTGCTTGTATTCACCCAAAGTCTCTAAAGGCAGACAGAGAGTGCAGCTTTTCCGAAACTTATCTAAAACCAGAAACATCATTTCACAGAAGAGCAGTGACAGCATCGCTCAGGAATTAGTGTTAAGCAATACAGTGCAGGAAAGCGGCTCTCAGAATATATTTCCATTTGCCTTCCTCAGATATGTGATGGCTCAGGACACCGCTCGGCCTTTCTATCTGCAGATGGAGAACTTTAGGGTCCAGATCTTGGGATGTTGCCAAGAAGCCTGCTGCAGGAACGCACTGGCGGCCCCTCCTGTCTAGGAAGCTTGTTTTCCTGCATAGACAGGGGTTACTCATGAGGGCCCTCCGCCCCCCTGTCCAGGGCTGCTGGGTCCAGGCTTCCGCCTCCCCTGCCAGGGATTCAGCCAGGGACTGAAAGTGTTTCTTGACCCCTCATCAAGTTATCAGTTCTCGGAAACCGACCGGTTGGCTCCCAAATTGTTCCCTGTGACCCACTTAACGTTTCCTGGTGGGGCCTCCTGGGCCCCGCGTCCTGGACGACAGCGCTTTTCCGTACCTAAGAGTTGCCTCCTTTTCTTCCCAATTAAGTCCCGGGGAACAGGGAAGAAGGCAGTTTAGCTGGAGGCCGAGGTCCCCGGTGTCCTGGCCAAGGCTGCAGGGACCCTGAGGTCTGGCGCCGGTGCCAGTGCAGAGCGAGCTCCAGGCTGGGTCTTCGATGCTGCCGGGGGAGCAGGAACCGGCAGCGACCTCTGAGGGAAGCTGCTCTCCTAGGCGTGTGGCTTAGGGAGCGTGGAGTTTCTTGGATCCCAGGGTCAGATGTACGTGACCTCGAGAGGCCACCAGCTCGTGGAGCTCGGGGTTGTGCTTTTAGGTGAGCTGTGGTTGCTGTCACCGTCCTTTGTGGCTTTGCATCCACTGGACTTACCGCGTATGTTTATGCTCTACTGGGCATCAGGGATACCAGCAAACTCTTACATTGCTCCGAGCACTTTACGTATGAAAATTCACTCCTAGGTCGTCAGCTGGGACTTGCACCGGGACCTATGGGTCAGGCTCTTAAGAGAACCCTGCATGCCGGGCGCAGAGGCACGGGGCAGGCGGGCCGCCTGCGCGGGGAGCAGTGGGGGAAGGGAGGGGATGCGGTAGCAGCGCAGGGGCTGGAGGGATGTGAGTGATGGGTGGAGCCATTTGGAGCGTCTGAAATGCGCAGAAACCAAGGGCCAACACCAAAGGACTGGCCCTCTGGGTGGCAACACCAGGGCGTCAGGGGGAGAGGCGGGCACTGGCGGTCACCACCAACCCCGGACGCTCCAGTGGCTGCCTCGTGCTCAGCTGTGCATTAGCCCTGGGACCCCTTCCAGCCTGAAGCCCCCCGATCAGGCTCGGGCCACATTAACCACAGGGCCAGTCCCCCTCTAGGGCCCGGACCCCGCGGCGGCTGACCGCCTCCGCTCTGCTTCCCGCACAGCTCACGCGCGGACACCAGGTGGCGCTCTCGTCCGTCAGCTACATCGGCTGCTCGCTGTCCGTGCTCTGCCTGACCATCACGCTCGTCACCTTCGCAGTGCTATCGTGAGTCACCTTCTGCCGTCCCCCGGGTCTCCCAAGAGGTTGGGCGGCTTTGTGCAAATGTCAGTGCCACTCCTGCCCACTTCGATTTCCCTTCTGGCACTTGTACTCGGGAGGCGGCAAATGCACGGTGTGTGACAGCTGGACGGCTGTTCCTCGATTACCTTCTGTTTTGAAATCTGGGGCGCAGGGAGGGGGCTCTGGGCGCTGGGAAAGAGAGAGGGGAGAGGAGGTGCCGTGGAATTGGAGGGCACCGGCTTCAGTTAACCTGGAAGGCTCTGGAAAGGTCCCTAGCCCACAAGGCTTTCTGTCCGCTGGCCAGGGGAGAGCCAGAACTGAGGACCCCCCCAAATGATATCAAAACAGCCAGAGCTTTGTGGGGCTGGGCCGCAGGAGGCCCCGGGGGTGGGAACACTGGAGGGCCCCTGCCTCCCTGCCGGCTTATGCCACGTCTGGTCAGAGACTGAGGGCACCCCGCAGCCCCCCAAGTGGAGGCCGGCAGCTCAGTCCACCCGTGGCCCTTTCTGAACTGGGACAGAAAACTAAGATGAGAGCCGTGAGTCTGGGCGGACAGCTGACTGAGCGCTGCTTGCACACTCCCCTCCGAGCTGCTGGGCCTCAGAGGAGGGCGTTCTCCCCACACCTGGATGGGCCCGCTCTCCGGGGACGCTCGGGAGTTTATCTGCCCCTCTTTCTCCACTCCTGGAGTTCCTCCTGGGGGTTCCCAGGTTTGGTTGGCGGGGGGCTGCGGCACCATCAGCAGGGGAGGCTGTCAGCTTCCCCGGCTCCCCCATCCCCACTGCTGCCCACCCGGGACCCGGGCGCCCTGGGGGGTGGGGGCAGGGGTACACCCTGGACACAGGAGCTTCTGGAGGGATCCGAGCCAGGTGAGAGGAGACTGGCGCAGGTTTGGAGGGACCCCAGCGTTTCGCTCAGGACCTTCCTCGTTCCCCAGCTATTTGCTCAGCAAGTCAACCCCACCCACGCGTAGTCAGCTCTGAGGACGCAGCTGCGCCCAAGACAGATAAAAACACATCTGGCTGCCGGGGGCGGGGGGGGGGGGGGACGTGCAGAAGAGCCGAAGCGTCGGTCAGTCTTCCTCGGCAGCGCCCGCAGGCTGGGGAGGCATCCCTGGGGTGAGATACCGGGTACGTGTGTTGTGTGCCGAGATGTGCGTCAGGCCGGGTTTGCGCGCACAATTTTTGGTGTGTGCTTACATAAGAGCCCACTTCTCCGCATCCTTTTCCCAGATCCCGATTACCTGCTGCTGCTCTACCGCGGACGCGGCGTCTTCGCCCTTTTCCGGGGGGCGCAGACAACGAGTGAGGATGCACAGGCTGCAGACACATCTTCACAGCCGTCCGTCCGAGCCCTGAGAGCAGTTCAGAGAGGAAGTGGGGCTCCTTCAGGCTCGGGAAGTTCTCTCTAACCCGGGAAGGGACTTCACTGCAGAGGAACGGCTGGTGCAAAGGCCCCGAGGCGGGAGCGGGCTGGGGGTCTTGGAGAACCTCCAGGAAAAGGGGCTCTGTGAGCAGGGGAAGGGACGAGCTGAGTCAGGCAAGGATCAGGCCCTGCAGGGCCTGTGGAAGGAGCTGCGTCGTTTCCGAGAGTAATAGGGAGCCATCGAGGGTTCACAGCCGGGAGTGGCAGCATCTGGGCTGGCTTATCAAGCCCTCCTTGGTGGCCTGACCCCTGCCTCTCTGCCCCCAGCTCGGTCAGCACCATCCGGAACCAGCGCTACCACATCCACGCCAACCTGTCCTGTGCCATCCTGGTGGCCCAGGTCGTGTTGCTCATCAGCTTCCGCTTCGAGCCGGGCACGGTGAGTGGCCCCCTTGGTCCTGCTGGGTCCACAGCGGGCCTCCCTCCCATCCGCTCTCCCCCGAATGTCACCAGGGGTGGCACCTTCCCCTGCTGGCTTCAGTTCAGAATTCAGACCACCGAATAGCCAGGCTATGTTTCCTCTGGGAGAGACAGGGAAGATGACAGGTATGAATGGCTTCCCTGCTCAGCATCAGTCTCGGTAATGACGACACTTACGGCCCTGACTGCGTGCTGGGCACCGTGCTGAGGGCTTACATAGACCCACTCAGTTAATCCTCATAACAAGCCCACGAGGTGGTGCCGTCGTAACCTGCCTGCTATAGATGCCAGGTTGAGGCACGAGGGAGTTACAGCCACTTACCCAGGGGGGCCTGGTAAGCACTGACCAGGTGCTGACCTCGTGCGGTCTTGCTGCAGACACTGCTCTCCATCGCTGCTCTGACCATGCACACAGCCACACCCCCTCTGCCTGCCAAGGGCCAGCCCTCTCTGCAAAGGGTCTGTGAGGACCCAGACCCACCTTTTCTCTCCCCTTTGTATCAGGCTGGGGGTTCTCCCGGGACCTAGGAAGTCTTAGATCTCACAGAAAGTGAAATGCTGAGACCAGATTGACCCAGGCTTGGGTGACGGGGGTTATAAACCTGGTTGAAGGGAAGAATCAGCAGAGATGTGCTCGCTCTACACCGGGAGGGAAGGGAACCAAGCAGTGTAAGCCAGTGGTCCTGGGGCGCGATCACGATTGGCTAATGGAAGATGAATTCTTTATCCCACGAAGTGAGCGTCAGCAGAGTGTCTTGTCCTCCCTGCCCAGCAGGGTCCTCAGCCCACCTGCCTGTCCTGGGGCTGCTGCCTAAGGAGACATCCGCCCTCCTCTGCTCACAGGTTTAGGGGTTCAGCCAAGCATCTAAGAAGTTCCTGGCTGTGCCGTGGACAGATGAGGCCTCTGCACCAGCCTCATTCTCTCCTACTGGATGCTTTTCAAGCTCCACTGTGGATCATCACACGGGGTTTTCTTAAAATACAGATTTGGGTTCAGCTGGAATTCCTATTTCCATCAGGTTTTCAGGTGATGCTGAGGCTGCCTGTCCAAGCCACACCGCGAGGAGTGAGCGCCCCCTGTGTGATGGCAACAGGAGGGGAAGCGGTCCAGGCGCCCATCATCCAGATGGCGACCCCAGGGACCGGGGGAATCTCCTGTGTGTCTAAAATCCCAGGCAGGGCTCTCAGTGATCCGCCCATTGGATCACCTCTGTGGCAGACAGGACAGGTGACTGTGGTGGCCAGTCTCTGTGTGGGGAGGGGCCGCTCCCCACATGAAAGGGGCAGCTGGTCCTAGAAGACGCAGGGCCACCGGTGCTGGGACTACAGAAACAACAGATGTGTCCCAGATTTAACAGAGCCTAATGGCCAGAAGCATGGCATTTCAGTAACTTGTTCCTTTTTGTTTTCTCCTGAGAATCAACGGATCAGGGGGCCTTGGGAGGACAGGACATGGAGCCCCCATAAAGACGGTTGTTCTTGGTTTTCATATTTGTTTTCTTCCCCAGGCTCCTGGTTCCCTGGCCCTTGTATCCGAGCTTAGGGATGGGTGGCAGTGGACTCACAGAGAGCATGGGTGGGGGGATCTCTGACTGAGGCTCCGGGGGGGATCTGAGCCCACATGGCTGAGCTTGGAGTTGTGGCCAAGACACTAGGAGCAAAAAGGGGGACCAGCAGACCGCTGCCGCCTTGGACAGGGGAGGATGAGCACGCAGAGCTGAGCAGGCCCGGCCCCTGCCTGCTTGTCACACAGAGGCAGGGGGGCCTCTGGATATCAGTGCCCCGAGCAGCCAGCAGGAACAGACATTACAGGTAGTTTGTGCACCTCTGTCCATTACACCTGCTGAGAGTAAAGTCCAGTGAAGCGGCTGTGTCACTCAGGCCTTTCGGCTCCAGGTAGGTAACCAACACCTCGAAATGGAGAACTGAAAATTCCTGAGTCTAGAGGTTTCAGCCACGTCACAGGCTGCTCTCTCTCTGCCCCTCCACTCCCTTCCCCTCACGCGCTCCACTCTGCAGGCCTCGCCTCCGGGCCGGGGTGGCTTCCCCAGCTCCGGGCTCCTGTCCTTGGGTTCCGGCGTCCGAAGGAAGGAGGGAAACCTGCTCACCGGCACCTCCGCCCACCCCAGAACCCACGCCCCGCAACCCGGCCAGTCACGTGCCCACCCCTGAGCCAATCCTGCTGCAGGGATGGGGATGTTTATGCTGATTGGCCGGACCGAGTCCCTGCCCTCCCAGGAACCAATCACTGTACCCGGGAGGGGGTGTGGTGCAGTGATTGGCTACTGCCTGAGTCACGTGCCCCACTCAAATCCCTCAGCTGGGAAAGGCAAGACGTGACTCCCCAGGAAGAAAGTGAGGCCACGTGTTTAGAAGGCGCCCCCCAGAACGTGGGTGCAGGGACGTTGAGACAACAGCAAGCACCCACTGCTCGCACGCCGAGAGCGCTTATCCTCCCTGCCATTGCTTTGGTCCTAGACCCCATGCCAGGTGCTGGCCATGCTCCTGCATTACTTTTTCCTGAGCGCCTTTGCGTGGATGCTGGCGGAAGGGTTGCATCTCTACAGCATGGTGATCAAGGTCTTTGGATCAGAGGACAGCAAACACCGCTACTACTATGGGATAGGATGGGGTAGGTGGGGATGGGATTGGATAGGATAGGGTGGGATGGGATGGGGTAGGGAGGGCTGGAACAAGTTAGGTGGGGATAGGATGGGGTAGGTGGGGATGGGATGGGGCAGCTGGGGCAGAGGTGGGTTGTGATTTCATCTTCACGTGAAACACCTCTAAGAGGCCAGGTGCTCTGCGGGCTGAACTTCCCCTCACTGTTTTTCAGAAAAGTCAGTTTCCGTGTGGGGTGCTTTGGATTTCTCTGTTCTAATGGTCGGCTTCCCTCCTCCCTGGGAAAAATCCCAGAGGCACTGCTCTGGAGCCGGTGCGGGGACAGTGGCCTGCTTCTCTTGGATTGACACCCCGGCTTTAATGCAGGGCACCAGGCAGGGATGGTGGCCTCTAATCTCACAGTGTATGGGTGCCCTGGGACGAGGGCAGTCAGGGCCCCGTATTCTCAGCCAGTCACGCCTGGGATGGACCCTGTACACTATGGGTTGTGGTTGGAGGGAGGAAAGGAATTCTGATCTCTAGGGTCGCTCTTACCTGGAATAGAGTTTCTGCCCCGTGGTGCTGGGGAGAATGAGGAATGCAGGCAGCCTGCCCCAGGGAGATATTGCGGCTCTAGACTGGGTCCCGGGGGAGGGAGCCTGTCTTGTTGGCCACAGCTGCCTGGAGTGGAGCAGGTTGTAGCCCAGGTGTCCCAGCGTGTCAGGTTTACCCAGACTTAGTAGGTTTTCTTGAATAAATTTTTCTTAATTTGCTGCATGCCCTTAAGAAAATTTATAGAGACTCTAAGTGGTTGTGTTGTTTTAAAGCTAACTTGCACGAGTTATGGTGGTCCTTCAATCTGGGAGTCACCTCCCCAGTGGCTTGACTTTCTTGAACTTCCTTCTTGCCCATCCTGAGGAGCCCCAAGGCACAGGAGACCCTGCTTCCTGCCAGAGTAATTGACGCCTGGCATTCTTGCATCTGCTGTAAAGCATTAATGCAGCATAAGGGACCTGCTACCCGTTTCTAGTTTTCTTGCGATAGATTTAATTTTCACAGTCCTCATGGCGCAGGGAACAGACAAACATTTTACTTTGTGCTTTGAGCTCCTAGCGTAGTTCATTTGGGGGACGTAGTGGAGGTAAGTTATGTGCCCCTCCTGGCTTTCCCGGGGGCCCACGTGGAGAGAGGAGACACAGCAGCTGCCTCCCAACTGGTGTGGCCTCGCAGGGAACTCCCGGTGCTTGCCAGTGACGCCCTGCGTCCCGCCTGCGGGCAGACTGGCCGTCCCTGCCGCGCGTCTCCTCACCTGGACGCCTGTGCTCTGGCTGGGCTCCTCGCAGCAGGAACGTCCACTCCTCTCCGTTTCCCTCTTGGTGAGCCCAACTCAAGCATGACTTTCTCCTTCCATCCTGCCTTGTCTCCTTGACAGAGGAGGGTCGCTTCTGCCTCTGGCTTCTGACTTCATTGAGTAAAAGGATTTACAGGACAAGTGACCAACCACCTGTAATGGCTAGTTTCTTTATGGGAACGGTCAGATAGTTTAGAGATATGTGCGCACACACACACGCACACACCCTGTAGCCACAGCAAGGACAGTTGAAATGAATTAAAAGTGTGGAGTTTGTCTCTGCTGTGACAGGAGTCGTGTATGTTGGTTCAAGATGGAGGTGTGGGTCATAATCCAATCCAGCCCTGAAGGATCTCTTCTTTGGTCTGCACAGTGTTGGAGGAAAAAAATGAATGATTTGCCAATACTTAAAAATGGAGAGATTTTGCATAAAATTATAGAGTTCTTTTGAAAGGTGAGGTGATCTGGGAACCCTGAGCTTCTGTTCCTACTTGACAGCATTGGCTGCGACTGTATGGTTTCTGATACCAGTGCCTCCCCTGTGGGTGTCTGAGTGTACAGCCTCTGTCAGACGCTCCCTGCAAATGGAGCGCCGGGCTGAGTTCCAGCAGGGCTCTGTCTCGACGTCAGCGTCCCCTTAACTGATTTCCTCACGGCTCTGAACTGCGTCCTTCCTTCTCATTGGGTTCGACTTGGCTGTGGGCCTAAGTACAGACAGTCTGCAGGTGGCTGGCCTCTCTCTACCTGCAGTTATGAATTAAGGGGGAGCTGGAGGCTGACCCAGGGCCCGGGGGGGTCACCCTGCAGGGGGGGGTCCCCCAGAGAGAGGCCACTTCCCTGGAGATTTGCACCGTGCTCTTACCCTGACCTTCAAACAGTATCATTTTTTGAAACTCAAGGACTGTTTTTTTGGCTGAGTTGGGATTGGAGGTGTCAAATTTAACAACATACCTGAAGTTTAGCTGCATGTCAGGTCCTATGCTTGAACTTGAAAGGTGAGTGTAATGTAATATCTGTCCTCAAGGGGTCCATGTGGGAACGGGGAGAGCAGGTGAGTGAGAAAACAGTTGAGCCTTTACACGTCGGTGCGGTAGACATGAATCTCTGACCACAAACAGCAGATGTGAATCTCTGACCACAAACTCAGAGGTGAAAGAAATAATCATAAACTCAGAAGCGAAAGAAATGCAACTTGCTTTATTTTTCTCTGTTACGACTTCATTGCTTTTGTGAGTGCCCACTCATCTGAGGGTGGAAACGTCATCAGAGTTCATTCTGGAAGCCGCCTTTCTCTGAAGTTGTGCTGGTGTCCCAGGGAGGTGACACAGCGCCAAGACCCTGGGACGTGCATCAGTCAGGGCAGGCTAGGTTACGCTGCCGTAACAAGCAGCCTCCAACTCACATGGGTTGAAAACAGTAGCATTTATCTGCTGTTTACACTGCGTGTCCTCAGCGGGCCAGTGGCAGTGGGAGGGGCTGTGCTCGGGACAGTCCCTCAGGAGCCCGGGGTGATGGAGAAGTTACTGCCTGGAGCCACTGCTGGATGCTGTGAGAGAGAAGACGACCTGGGTAGATGTCACCCGGGAAATCAGCACTTAGCCGAAAGAGGCATGGGTCAATTCTGTTCACAACTCACTGCCCAGAAGGAGCCAACAGCTCAACAGCCCCAGGGTGCAGAAATGCAAAGCCGCCACGTGCCCAGAGTGAGGCATCCGGAATGTGGCACAGTGACTTCGACTGGAGGGCGAGCCACTTGTCTCCCAGCGTTGTCATCTCTTTGCCCCTTCGCTGTCGAGTCATCCCCGCCCCTGTGTTGGGTTTCATATCATCCCTCCTCTCTGGGTTAATATTTCACAGCAACACTCCTGATGGCTGCCCCTCACATCGCCCCTCCCTCCTTCCCTGGATCTTAGGGGCAGCAGCCAGGGAAGCACCAATGTGGTCCCTCTGAAAGGTCACCACATTCCAAAGAGAGCACGTCTTGAGCGCCACGAAGTCAACGTCCATAGGACAGGACCAGAGGAGCCCCAAACTGCGGAAGCGGGTCAAGCGTCTGCGTGGGTTATGGGGTGTGAATTTCAGATGATAGCAACAGTGGGAAAGGCCTCAGAGCTGGTTAATAAGAGTGGAGATCATTATACACAGACGGGCTTCATACATCAGCGCATCCTGCATCACATCCATGGGCGCAGCGCGTGTGATCCTCACCACAGCCTGATGGGACGTGCTGTCATCGCTGTTTCCAGAGTGAGAACGTGGCGGCCCAGAGAGGCTCAGCTGGTTCCCTGAGGCTGCACAGCTGTTCTGGGGGATCCTGGGAATAGAACGCGGTGCTGTGGCTCCTGCAGCACGTTTCAGAGAAAGCAGAGGGTAGGGCCCACCTTCGTCTCAGACCCTTCCAGTCACCGCCCTGCGGCCTGTCCTCTGAGTGTCAGTGTTGCTTTGGGGATCGTAGGAGAAACGCTCAGTTGTGCAGCCAGGAAAAGAATCCCCTCCTCCGCTTAACTTTGCGCAGAAAAGAGATGCCAGCCCCTGACTTGCGCCCCCGCCGTGGCCACGATCGGGGGAGGGAGACGTGGTGTTGACTCAAAGTGAAGCCTGGAAGCCGAAGCCTTCCAGGCACCTCGGGTTCTTACTGCACCTTCCACAACACCCCCGGACGGGGCCTTGGGGACTCTGCAGGGTCCCGTGTGCACCTGCTGGGCTGTCCTGTGGACCCAGAGCTCACACAGTGCCCGCTCCTCCCACACCCCAAGGCTTGAGCTTCCTTGGGAAGATGGGATGGGGGGGAGTCTTGGTGCCCGATGTCCCCAGGGCCCCTCACCATCTCAGGGCCTATGTGATCCTCCCAAGAGAGCCAGGCAGCGGGGTTCCCTGCAACGTCTGAGGAAACCGAGGCCCCAAGCGAGTGGGCGGCAGGCTGTGGGCCAGATCCTCAGCGTCCCCCTTGTCTCCTGTGACTCTGAGTCCATCAGGGCAGGAGGGCCACAGCCAGAGGCTCCGACACCGAGAAAAGCTCTGGCTTCCATGAGGTCGTGCACACGGGTAGAAAACCCGAGTGTGACGGCGGGTCAGCAGTGAGAGGTGCGTCCCCTCCTGGCCCCTGGCCTGTCCACCTCTCCCCAGAGGCTGCTTGTTGGTCTCCTTTGAGGGCCCAACGACTGTCTTGTCCGGATGTCCTGTGATGTCGTCAGACTATTTTGACATCAAGGCAAAGTGTTTCAGAGACAGGACCACTCTCCAGAGACTCCTTTTCAAGGAGATCATTTAACACTGATCCTCAGAGGGCCAGTGTGGAGCTGACCAAGCCACCAGAGGTCGCAGGAGGGCTGAGGCCTTGAGGCGCCCAGGACTGGAGCCGGGAGCAGGCTTCCCTCTGGGTCCTGGAGTATATCTCCCACGGGCTGGGCAGGCTCGGCCAGAGGGGCACAGGAGCCGCCTGTTCTAATGCATCTTCCCCTGCGCCCTTTTATCCTAGCAATCTGCAAAATGCAGTGTCCTGGTCAGGAGCCCTTTCTCCTCACCACCCTCTGGAGGGGAGGGTCAGTGGGTGGAAAGGGACCCTTTGCTGTCTCTTCTCCCCCCTCCCTTCCCTGCAGGGGAGCAGAGGCAGGTGCTGTGCTCACGGCACTGATCACACAGAGGCCCTGGGCATGCCGCTTCCCCAGCAGCTGGAAGGGTGTTGTTTTCAGATACAGAATCAGATTCACAACAGACCTGCCCTAAAATGCATGTGTGTGTGTGTGTGTGTGTGTGTGTTAGTTATCTCTTCGTTTAGACTCTAAATTCTTGGAGCCTAGGGGCTGTTCTGTGTCCTCAACACTTAGCACACATTTCTTTGTACACATCAGGTATAAAATGAATAAATGAATGAACGAGTCAGAGGAGACTGGAGCAAGCTAATAAAATATTCTGCTCTCATTTCCTACAGGTTTTCCTCTTCTGATCTGTATCATTTCAATAGTCTTTGCCATGGACAGTTATGGAACAAGTAAGAAGTAAGTGGAGGGGTGATCCCTGTGTGGGCAGGACTCCCGTGGGGAGGGGCACAGTGAGGGTCCCCATGGCTCGTTGTCTTGCTGTGTTCTCCTCGGGGAGGGGTCGGTCCAAGGCTGGTATCCTCCAGCCCTGGCAGTAAAAAAGGGCTGATAGAGGGAGAAACACCCCCGGCGGTGCTCTGGGCTTTTTCCCACCTTGGAACTAGCATCGAGGGGGTCAGAGCGCCTCCTGCACTGGGTGGCCCGGATAAGTCTCTGATGCGAGGTTTTCATCCATGTGGCTGTCCTGGACGCACAGTCTGGTCACCTGTGGAGCCCTGTTTTGTGCTGACCCTTTCTTGGGGTGGTCAGCAAGTGCCTAGTACATAAGAAGTCCCATTAAATTACAGCCAAGTGAATGGGACTGTGTGAATAAGGGTAGTCTGATGTGCACCCGCGGGGGGGCGTTCTCATCGCTGGGGCAGCAGCAGACGGGACTGTGTATGTGCCAGACCTCGTGCCGCTATTTTGAAACTGCAGCTGGTGGGTCCCTAGTTGAATCAGGAAGAGGCTGGGTTGGGACTGTGCAACCAGGTCAGGTGTTCACCTTCCAGAAATTTGAATTCCTTTCCTACCAAAGAGAAAGAGGCTTTAGCTCACCTGTCTTTAGGGAGCTGCCCCTCTCCTCAGCCAAAAGCGGAAGAACCACTGAGTGACAAATGCCACGGAGAGATTTTAAGAGGAGAGAGAGGGAGTTAAACACTGTTCCAGCTTCAGCCTGAGATAATTTCTCAGCTGAGTTGCTAAACTGGGAGGAATCTGGCTTTTTCTACTTTAGGACAACAATTTCCTGAAGATAAAGCACTTAAAGAAAGCGCTGAGTCCATGCTGAAATAAGAATGATTAAACAACCATTGTTCTGGCCCGTTCCTTGCAAGCCTGCGTGGTGTCCGAAGCCAAGGCACTAATTAAAAGAAGAAACTTCTCAGACACATCTCAAGGGCACTTGTTCCATGTCTTTCCATCTGGGAGCGTGCAGGTGCTGGGCCACCCACGGTGCGTCTCAGCTCCAGGGTCTGTTTCTGATGTCAGCCTCTCACCCACTCATGTGCCCGAGAACGAGGCAGCCCCAGCAAAGGCCCCGAAGCTCACTGAGTGTCTGGGGAGGACCGGGGATCTGAAGGTCCTCACCCACTTAACCTTCTGCACGAAAATGGTGGAAAGCACAAACTTCCTCTTGCAGAATTCTCACCCTCCCAGGGAGCCTGGGTTAGAGCTGCCCCTTTGCAGAGGGACCACCAGACTCGACGTGTGTTTCCATGTTAAGTGCCGCATCCTCAGACGGGAGGCTCTTTTCTCCAGGCTCTGGGCTCCAGGTGGGAACGAGCCTCTTACAGGCTCTGTCACCTGTCTGGGGCATTTCGTGTCTCCTGGTCCAGGAGGTCTCGGGGGAGGACGCGGGCAGCAAGGCAGGGCGCAGGCGTGGACTCGGGTCCCCGAACGTCCCTGGGCCTCAGCTTCCTCCTCTGCAGGGTGGGGTCATCACAGCGCCTGCCTCAGGGGCGCCGTGGGGTTACGGGGGGGCGGTGCTGTGCTGTCAGGGGGCTGCGCTGGGTGAGCAGGCGTGAGTGAGTGACCAGGTGGCCCCGCAGGGACGTCCACGTCCTGCGTCCGTGAGGATGCACCGTGCGCCTCACCAGACCCTGGCGGGTGTGCCGCGCCCCCGGGGCTGCCCCCAGATCCAGGGAGGTGACGTGTCTCAGGGACCCCGGGCTCTTAGCGGTTCTGATGCTCCGGAGAGGAAGATGGTAGTCCTGCCTGAGTTCCTGGAATCATGTCTCGTAAGCCAGGAGCAATTTCATATCCTCGTACTGGACCCTGCCTCCCAGATGAGGCTTCTCTGGAAATGAGAGCCGTGGCTGGGATCCACTGGGACCTTTCGTCTCGGTTGTGGAGCGGGGTCGGGGGATGGCACTGCCGGGAGATGGAACTGACCGACAGCTGATGAGGACGAAGGTGGTCCATGCTGCGTCACGTGATGCCTCCTCACTCCTTGAATCCCTGCAGAAGACACTAGTGAAGTCAGTATTTGAAATGCTCTGGAAGGAAGCCGGCCCCTGGCAAAAGCCCATTTATTTATTTCTTGTAATAAAATTCAAACTTCCTTTGGATTTTGGCTAGACTCTTCAGAGATGGCGAATTTTTCCACTAACCAGGTGACCTGTAAAAGCCTTCTTTTCCTCGAGCCAGTCTACAGACCTGGAACATTCTTCCCAAGAGCGGGAGGCGTGAGGTCATGGACAGGATACAGACACGTTTGTAGGGATTAACAATGTCATTGTGACTGTGCCCCACGGTGTCCCTGTACTGTCCTGGACACAGGGCCCCTGGGACGTGGGATGATGCACTGGAGTAACCCTCTGCCCCCTTCCACAGTTGCTGGCTGTCGCTCGGGAATGGTGCCATCTGGGCCTTCGTAGCTCCTGCTCTGTTCATCATCGTGGTACGTCCTCTGCCGTGCGGGCGCGGAGCTGGGCTGGGGAGGGGCTGGAGTGCAGGAAGCCCTGGGCTTTGTGGAGGTGCAGCTGGGCCCCCTGAGAGCACGTCCTAAGCTGGGGCAGCATGGGTCCTGTTACAGCCCCTCATGGGGGTGTGACCCAGAGCCTCCTTTCCCCGAATGATACTCAGGAAGGTTGGGCAGGTTTTCAGGTTTAATGCAGATCTGTTTAAGGCCCTCGGTGCTTTTCATGCTGAAGCAGCAGGTGTGGGTGTGTGTCCAGGAGGGGCAGTGCAGACCCACTGGTTCTTTTCTTTCCCGATGCTCTTCCATGATTTCCTCACGTGCACATCTCCGTGGTCAAGGAGATGCAGGAACCAAGGCTGTGTTAGGGAGTTTTCGTCAGAGCCTCCCGAGAACCACACGAAACAGAATTCCTGTGATAATGAGGGACCTACTCAGAGAGGGTGACAGAAATGGGGATCTCTAAGCTCACAGTCAGGAACGTTTGCCGTGGCTCTGCGTCTGGGGTTCAGACGAGGCCGTCTCCACGTGGTTCTGGCGCCCCACTTCTCAGCTCTGTTTTCCTATCAGTTGGCTCCATTCTTAGACAGCTTGCCCCAGATGCTGCTAAGAAACTCTAGGACCACACAGAATTGTAATAACTGCCACGGGGGGAAAAAAAAACCCTCCTTTGTTGTTCTTGCTATTGTTCTACCGGCCCGTCCCACCAAATCCTGGGATCGATTTTCATCATTTCTGATGGGCCTGGCTTGGAACTCTGCCCACCACGGGCCCCTCGCTGAGGTCAGAGGAGCAGAATGCTCTGACTGGCCAGAGGAATGGAATGTTCTGATTGGCCAGCCTTCACTGAAGCCAGTGGAAGCAGAATGTTCTGATTGGCCAGCCCTCACTGTGACCAGAAGAATGAAATGCTCTGATTGGTCAAAGGACTGGAATGCCTTGATTGGCCAGGCCTGGGCCACAGCTCTAACCCTGGGTCCTTATACTTGGTTTCCCATGAAGTTATTTAACGTTAATAATAAAGCTCAAGTTTATAGAGCATTTTTTTTTTTTTTTAAGATCTGAATGTGTTTTTACATTAAATTTCTCCCTTACTTGCCCCTAAATTAGCTGCTTGGAGAGATGGAAATTTCTGTTATTAAAAGGGGCAAGTTACGGTGCAGGGAATAGGTAGAATGATGAAATCCTGGCCCGTGACGGCAGCTGTACTAGTCTAGGCGCCCCCTCCTCTCTCCCCCACACCCTTCCACTCGCCCTCTTCCTTTCCTTCTCTCTCCTCCCCCTTCTCCCCCGGTGCTAGTAAACCAGCTTGAGTGCCCTTGAGTAGAAAAGGCTCAGTCCTGGGAAACAGGGGAATCAGGCATGGCTGGTTCCAGGCACTCAGTGATGTCCACAGGTATCATCTCCTACATAGCCCGTGGCCCCATTGCCTCCTTGCTGGCTCCATCTCAGGCAGGCTTTCCTGGCGGGGGGACATGATGGAGCTGGTACCCTGACACATCCTCCAGCTCTGCAGTTCAGGGTAAGGAGGGAGGCACTGTTCCCAGCAGTCCCAGCAGAAGTCCCAGGGAAGATTCTGATTGGCTCCCATGGGTCAGGTGTCTGTTCCAGAGCCAATCACTGAGGCTTGGGTGGAGGCAGGTGATTGGTCAGGCCCAAATCACATGACTCTCCAGGGGCAGGGTTTATTATTTCATCCCCCTGAACTCTCGGGGCTAGAGGTGGGGATCCCCAAGAAGCCCTAGGAAAAGGGCCTGGGAGAGGGGGCTGCCAGTACCAGGGTGCTGAGCCTGGCTGGGGTCTGGTCAGAGGTGAGGCATCGCCATGCTGTCCCAGTCTGGGCATCTCTCCCCACAAGTGTTGGGGGCTGACATCAAGGCACCCCCCATCCCTCCTGCCCACCTTGTGCAAATCCACAAAACACACTCTCCACACCCTTGGCTGAGACCCCAGAACATGCTCTCCACGCACCCCCAGGGTGGGAGCCAGGCCATGCTCACTGCCTCTGAGGGTGCTGCCTTTGAAGGGTGTTGAGCCCCCAGGTGAGCCCGCTACTGAAGGTGAGGGAAGGGACTCCAGCCAGAGACACTTGAGCCTTTGGTGTCCTCATCTGTCGCCTACCCTATTGGGTGTCCCGGCTGTGGTGGCACATGAACTGTCCTCCCAATCCTAAGGACAGATCCAATGTTCTGTGTCACCAAGGATGGCTGCCGGAGGATGGACTTATTTGGAGAGGGTCTGTGGATGGCACTGAAGCCCACCGCTCCTGCATCCCCTCCATGTGGATCTTTCCTAAACGCTGTGAAGCCAGCCCTCCTTTCGCTCACCCCCCTGCTCCCTTCCCCAACGGCTGATTTGAAAGCTTCTTTAGACTTTGTTCCAAATTCGGTGGTACTGACTGAGGCCGTGGGCCCTGGTGGTTAATTAGAAACGTATCCAAGGGAAGACGCCTAAAGATGTGGCTTTTTCCTCCTTAATTAAAATTCCACTCGGACATCCTCAGGCCACACAGAGGTGCAGCAGCATCTTCTTGGTAGAGGGTTTCCAGAAGGGCAGAGTGGGGGGCATCATCGGGGTGTCGTCGTCTGTTCGGGACATGAGGGAGGGCGGTGGCGCCAGCCCCACACAAGCTCCCCCGTTCAGGCTGCGTTGACTCCGCTCCCCTCTATGCCGGTCCCCTGCCAGGTGACGTGTGCTCAGGGGTGTCCACAGCCACGGGGACAAGTGGGAGATGGGGGCATTCTCTCCCTGACGTGCTGGCTCTGGAGCCTCCTGGGTCCCCGTGGCCCCAGCCCCGGGCCTCTGTGCCAGAGGAGAGGCGGGGCTGTGCTCCCAGCTCTGCAGGGCTCGTGGGCCCACCGGCCTCTCTGTAGCGTCCGCGCAGGGCCCTGGTGGGAGGGGTGGGCGACAGGGAGACGGGAGCCTTGCGGGCGTCAGCTGGGTGCCCCTCCCATGCCACTCCCCTCCTGTTCTCAGTGTCCCCGGGGGGCCGGTCCGGATGGACACGGACCAGGCTCAGAGGGAGGGAGGAGACGGGGGCCAGGAGTGCACCCCCTGATCCCTCGCACAGGGCAGTGGGTGCACGGTGCTCCGTCCCCCACAGGCCACACTCCTGTCGGCAGCGCTGGCCCAGCCCTGGCCGCGGGGTCCCTGAGGCTGTCCCTCTGCCCTTCTGTGTCACAGGAGCTGGTGTCCCCAGCACCCCGTGAGCCCTGGCCGTCCGTCCAGTTGCTGGCTCCCTTGTGGTGCTTGGGATGTTTTCCTTCTCTGTCCATCACAGACGGTTAGAATCACACTGCTGTGTCACCTCTGCGAGGGAAGGGGGACTGCAGTCTGTGCCAGTCCAGGGCGATGGCACAGCAGTTCTGTAAAGGAGACCTCCTTCCAGGAAGGGCTTCCAGGTCGGGGAAGGGACAGGACTGCGGTCTCAGGGCGTCCGTCCTTGGCGTTAACCCCGAGCTCCGAGTACAGGCCCGGGTCCTTCCATCAACTGCTACTGAGGTGGTGCGTTGTCATGGTGACACATCCCTGAGCTCTCCCTCCAGGCTGTGGCCTGTCCCAGGGCTGCGTGAGGGCCATCTGCAGTCACTTTCCCACCCGATCTTTCACAGGGTGACAGAGGCCCCCGTGAGCGACCCCGGGCCGCCCTCCCTTCCTGCCCCTGGGGTCCGGGAGGACCACTCGCCTCGTCACCCAGACGGAGGCTCAGGCTCAGACCCGACTCCAGTCCCCCCGCCTGATCAACCCTCCTGGTCAGAGCGCGGGCAGTGGCAGGGGTGGAAGGGGAGCGAGTGTGGAAGGCCTCGCCCTGCTGTCTCTCTGTGCTGACTTAACCCCCAGGTCTGCAGGGCCCGGCAGCATCGCCCGCTCCCAGACTCCCCGGCTGAGCTGGCTGTTTCCTCTGACTTTGGTCAGTGACGGCGGGGGATCCGAGGCGGCCCTGCCTGGATCCTTCCCTACCACCCACCACAGCGAGGGGTCCAGCAGCAGGGTCCCCGCATCCCATGTCCTCCAGGCTCGCTGGAGCCCTGCTGTCCTTCCAGAGAGGGCGTTACCTCCGCCCCAGGCCCTCTCCTTGACATCAGCCATGCACCTGCGAGGACTGCAGTTCTCACACTTGTTAGTAATGGAATCCCTGGGGAGCTTGGGAACGGTTTCTGCCTGAGCCCCACCTGGGAGGTTCTGGGTTTACTGGAACTTTCAGAGCTCCCAGTGATTCCGGTGTGGAGCTGGCTTGCAGTCCGAGGTGGGCTGTGGGAAGTTGGAGAGCCCTGGGCTGGGGGGAGGGGATGTCCGCTGAAAACGGTCAAACGCAGGGTCAGCTGGCTGCGGCTCATGCGGTAAATCCCGCGCAGGTGCCGGGCACTTATTTACAAACTGCGGCGGCTGTCACGCTGCAGCTGTTGAGTTTAGCTGTTACAGTAGAGACTGGGAGGCCTGAAAAGCCAAAAATGTTTGCTCCCCGGACCTTGAGAGAAAAAGCATGCAGACCCCAGGCCAGGGGATGCAGCAGAGGGGTCCTGAGACCCAGCCTCTCCAACTGTCAGGGCTCAGGCTGGCCGGGGGCGGAAGTGTCCCGTGTTTCTCATTTCCTCTGAGGACCCTGGGTTGTGCCATGTTGAGTCGTGCCGCATTGTCCCCAGAGGCACTCCGAAGACAGCAGATTTCAGCATCACATGTAGGGCCCGGCCCCATTGTGTAACTTGTGCAAAGCTCTGTTCGGGCGCATGTTCACGTGAGCACGTCTGTGGGAAAGAAATGTCTGGATGGATGCACACGGGATGGCGTTCTCCAAAGAGGGGTTTGTGTCCGGGGGGTACTTGCTTGCACATCCCATCCATTTAAAAACAGCCACATGTCACGTGCATCATTTTAAACTAAAACACTTTGGAAGGTGCATGTTCGTGTTGGGGTGTGCAGCTTCACTGTGTCCCGGTGAGGTTGGTCTCGGACGGACAGGAACCTGTGGGACGGGATTGTCACCGTGGCGCCTGGTGGGCCCAATGCTGGGAGGGAAAGGGCAGAACCGAGCCCCTTCCGGTTCACAGCTTACCTGTCACCCCACTGCCAAATATGCACCCACCAACTGTCCCTTCACAAACTGGTCTCCCCGATTATGAAGGGACATGGATGCCATTTCCTGGGCGACTCCAGTGCGGCTGAGTGCAAAAGTGCCCACGGGGCAGGCAGGTCTTACAGAAGCAGGGACGCCATGGGCCACAGGGGCCACCTTAGCCTGAGCCCCGCCAGGGGGCTTGTTCCATGCTGGCGCCACCCGGGAAAAAGGCCTCCAAGTCCGGGAAGAGAAAGAGTCTAGAGTTTTAAAATCCTCCTCTCACCTGGGGAGAGGCCAGGCTAGTTGTGTGACTCTACAAACACAGGTACGTAAATAAAGATACATAGATACATAGATCCAGTTACCAATTCCTAAGAACAGATATGCACACGGGTACAATTACAATGATAGTTACAGACGTAAAGATACAGAACCATAAATACCTACATGGACATAGAAACAGGTATAGATACACACGAAGTGTTTATTATGTCTTTATGTGTGTCTGCATGTATAACCTTTCACTGTGAGATCGTGAATCACATCCCAGTGATTTTTCACAAATACTTAAGTGGCCCTGAGTCCGGTCAAGAAACAGAGCGTGGTCCCAACCCCAGAGCCCTGCCCAGCCGTTCCCTCCCCCCAGCAAAAATCCCCGTGGTCTTGAGTGTGTCCTCCCTCCACCCCTCCCCTCCTTTTTTTTTTTTTTTTTTTTTTTTTTTTTTTTTAATT